CCACGCGGTACAGAGTCGGGCCGCTGGTACTTCACCCACACGGTGCAGAGTCGGGCCGATTGCAAAGCACTGACGCGGTGCAGTGTCGGGCCGATCGCGAAGCACCCGCGCGGACCAGAGTCGGGCCGATTGCAAAGCACTGACGCGGTGCAGTGTCGGGCCGATCGCGAAGCGCCCACGCGGTGCAGAGTCGGGCCGATCACGAAGCGCCCACGCGGTGCAGAGTCGGGTCGCTCCACGAGCCAGCAGTCACGCAGGGCGCCGTTTGTACTCGAAGGCTTTTCGCGGGAAGTCAACGCCGGTGTAAAACACAAGACGCCAAGGACCTACATACCGTGTGGCAGACATGTTCAAACTGACAGCGACATCACAGAGCAGCTGCACACATTGGCTGAGCTCTACTGGACCCGTTTGATCAGATCAGGGCGGATGGCATACCGGCCGTGGCTGGCTCTGCTGGCTGCCTATGCAAGAATAGCGGTACGTTAAATACACGTTTGTCATAGTCCCCAAGCAATTAGTGCTGGTAACTCTTTTGACGATATTCGTAGTGCACATATCTTGGTAGCGCAAACAATATCTAGCTCTTATGTTCGTTCGCATTCATGTAGTAGCAGACTTAGACACGCCATGGATCATCACAGGTATGCACAGGTGTGTCCTCATATCCAGAATGTAAATGATATTTCTGCATACATCTTTTTAACGGATGTACCCACTGGATGCTTGAATATGCGCGCGCGCGCGCGCGCATTTCTTCCCTTACATCCATCTGGCAGTGACGCGAGGTCGATAGCTATATCCAAGCGCTACTCCCCAGGGGGCGTCTCCTCCATCGCCGTCGACTGACGAGGGGGGGGGGGGCGGAGACCCTCCTACTGCCGCGTTGCTGAGGGGGGCGGAGACGTTCCTACTGCTACGTTGCTTGGGGGGGGGGGACGGAGACGCTCCTACTGCCGCGTTACTGAGGGGGACGGAGACGCTCCCACTGCCGCGGTAATGAGGGGGACGGAGACCCTCCTACTGCCGCGGCGCTGAGGGGTTAGAAGACCCTCCGATCGGTATGCTGATCGGCATGATCGGTATGCCGTTCACCCGGCAGTACTCGCGCCACCCGGCAGTACTCGCGCCACCCTGCAGTACTCGCACCACCCAGCAGTACTCGCGCCACCCGGCAGTACTCGCGCCACCCGGCAGTACTCGCGCCACCCGGCAGTACTCGCACCACCCGGCAGAACTCGCACCACCCGGCAGTACTCGCGCCATCCTGCAGTACACGCACCACCCGGCAGTACTCGCGCCACCCGGCAGTACTCGCACCACCCGGCAGTACTCGCGTCACCCGGCAGTACTCGCACCACCCGGCAGTACTCGCGCCACCCTCCAGTACACGCACCACCCGGCAGTACTCGCACCACCCGGCAGTACTCGCACCACCCGACAGTACTCGCGCCACCTGACAGTACTCGCACCACCCGGCAGTACTCGCACCACCCGGCAGTACTCGCACCACCCGGCAGCACTCGCGCCACCCGGCAGTACTCGCGTCACCCGGCAGTACTCGCACCACCCGGCAGTACTCGCGCCACCCTGCAGTACACGCACCACCCGGCAGTACTCGCGCCACCCGGCAGTACTCGCACCACCCGGCAGCACTCGCACCACCCGACAGTACTCGCGCCACCCGACAGTACTCGCACCACCCGGCAGTACTCGCGCCACCCGGCAGTACCCGCGCCACCCGGCAGTACTCTCACCACCCGGCAGTACTCGCACCACCCGGCAGTACTCGCGCCACGCAGACCGCGGCGCGCATTTCTCATCGACTGCCCGGGGAATAATATCCACGCCGCCGGCGGCCCTGTCCGAATGGCGTCGGCCAAAGGTCACGTTCGACTGGAGCGTTGTGGCGAGTTGGGTGGCACAGCGACAGACTTTCTGGTGGCCGGCAGCTGATGGAGCACCCAGTATCAAAGCCAAACAAACTAACGGAAGCGGGATGCCGGCACGCGACTCTCCGTTTCGATGATGACACCTAACGGACCTCTGATGTGATCAAGAGAGGCCTTTGGCTCATCATTTCCAAATTGTGAGGCGCTGTAATGAACTTATAGCAGAGCCATTAACTCCTGATGAAAGGGTATGTTCAAGCTGATCCCTTGTCCAATACATCACCGTTCTAATTAGTTTTGCATGGAGAAGTTTCTCTGGTATCGTGCTAATTGGTAAGATGCAGCTTTGGTGCTTGAGGATTCATCCTTACGCCTTATCCTCTGCAGCACAATGAGTGTGATGTGGTGTAGGAACTCAATTTAACCCTTTCGTTTGGGCTTAACCTAAACTTGTGACATGAAAACTGGGTTGACTCTTCTCTCGTTTATAAAAAAAAACGTTCTGCGTGGCTTAAAATAAACTGGGCGTAATTTATTTGCTCCATGATTTCAGCAAGCATATGATTTTTGTTTCTAAAAAAACAGGAATGTATAAATGCATGGAAGGGAGAATATTTGGGGGCTTGTCGCCCGTGCCCCACACCCTTTTTCTCTTCGTACTGATAGGAATATTTGGATGTGTGTTATGCACACAGAAGCTGGTACTATAGGCCGATGCTTTCGCAAAAGAAAGCAGCTGAGAGAATTGGACAGATTATTTACACGTTATTCGTGTCTGACACCGAATCCTGAAACTCTGAATGGGATTGAAAGGAACACTTAGATTGAATTTAGATACTCAACAGCGAAGTGATTTGGAGAAACATCATGGCATATTTTGAGATTTTCATTGTATGTTTTTAGCTCGAATAAAGTCCCCTGGAAATCGCACCCCGTAAATCCAGACTTCGACTTTAAATGCGTGAAATGTTTTATCGTTGGTATGCAAGCAACACCAAAAATGATACGCTAACTGCTGTACCCCACTTTTAATCTACTATATTACTGTCCTGAATCTCTCCAGCTCATCCAGGCCAGGCACCCCAACTACGGTCAAGTTTACTCAATGTGCAGCGTTTTACTTGTACGCCCATGTTCGATTAAAGGGAATGCTTCACATTTGAAGGCACCGAAGCAAACATCAGACATGATGAAACAAGCTTACTTATAACTATTGGCGTACTTCTAAGTACAAAAGACTTCCCTAGACAACACACTTTCCATGCTTAGTAACTATGGTCCTATTTTATTACGTCATCGTACCTTGCACAACATTGGTTGGGAGCCAGTTGACGGCCATTATATCTGGAAGTCGTATTCACGAAAGCCAGATCTGAACCACTCACCCATCATATTTTTCTTGGCATTGATCACCGCATGGTTCAGAAAATGGCAGGACTCGAATGACGTTATTATGACGTCATGAATGCCAAGATGATCTTGAAACAATTTCCCCGAAACAGTCTCCCCATCTTCTCGAGCTTGTCGCTCAGAAGCTAGATATTTTTTGGCCCTGAGGATAATGCTGTGAACTGCACCGAATGCTATTCAAGATAGCTATTTCAGTTGAAACCCCATATAAATCTGGAATACTTTCCTTAAAGGGACCGGCACGGCTGGGTAGGCAGCGGTACTGGTGTCAGCCGCACACGTTGCAGCCCGGGCTAACTTATTCTGGCAGCGGGAAGGCCGTGGCTTTGTGAAGTGGCTCACATAGCTCTACCGCAGCCCGCACAATAGCGACTAGCTGACAGTGACTGACGCCACAGGACGGTAAATTGATTTTTTTTCTCAAGCCACCGGTGGTCACCTGCCCCACCCCACCGCTCGTTCAGCTTGACGTGACCTTCTAGCCTCCGATGACCTGACGCCGGTCTGACCGATCACACGCAATTGCCAGGTCTGGCACCGTGCCGGGCGCTCCGCCCCGCGGCTGGCACCGGCCCCCGGTATTCCGCGGATGCCGTGACAGTTTGCGGGTCGCGTGGTGCTGCGGTCCATGCCTGCTCGGCACCGAGCCTGAAGGGTGGAGAGCTGGCGCGGGAGATGGCAGGGAGCCCGGCAGAGGAGGGATAGATATTGCGGTGCGATGTCTCACCTCGGCCGTTCTCTTCATGTGCGGGGCGGGGATGCGATGAAGCTGAAACAACGTGTGCTGTTCGATATAACAACGTGTTGCCGCAAACGGGGTCGGCCCTTATGAGTAGCTGCCACGGCATGGTGAAGGGGTGGCCAACCACCAACGAAGCATCACGTTGTTCTATTAAGACACCGGGGAGGTGCATAGCAGTGGTCGGCTGCGCGTGTGCCCGGCCAGTGCACATCAGCGGTCGGTGGCGGGCCGTCCCCCCCCCCCCCTCCCCCTCCCTTCGGCCTCGCGGCCGTCACCTGTGTGAACGGCGGACAGGCAGCGCCAGCCGCAGCGGCGCGCCTGCCTGGTCGATGAAGTCGGAGCCGGCTACCTGGGCCTCGACCTACCGAACCTGGCGCGCCGGCTGCCACACCGAGGCCTCTGGGGGGCTCGGCGCGCTCGCGAGGGCTTCCGTTCACATAGAGCGCGGCTGCCACACCGAGGCCTCTGTGGAGCTCGGAGCGCTCGCGAGGGCTCCCGTCCACATACAGCGCGGCAGCGTACCAAGGCCTCTGGGGGGCTCGGAGCACTCGCGAGGGCTCCCGTCCACATAGAGCGCGGCTCCGTACCAAGGCCTCTGGGGGCTCGGAGAGCTCGCGAGGGCTCCCGTTCACACAGAGCGCGGCTCCGTACGGAGGCCTCCGTCCGCACACTGCGGCTTCGGGCTGAGCGCCGCCGAATAAGGGGACATCGGCGAGCACCGACGCGTGAATCCTTTTTGTTCAGTGAGATCCCAACAGTTGGATCCGCGCCTGAGGCAGGAAGAGAAGTTCTAATCTGTCGCTGAATTGTTATTAAGCCCTTCTGTGTTACCAAAAGCAGTATGGTTAGACCTGTAACCAAACGCACCGGGATAGGACAAATCGTTCACGCTTAGTAATCCGCAGCCCTGCTCAAACGGCGAAGAGGACTGACACTGCACTTGTCCTTATTTCCAGTGTCTGATTTCGCCCAGCAGCTGGCGCAACTCAACGAGCAGCACGCAGAGAAGCTGCAGTTGCTGGTGGAAACTTATCGGAAGCGCAACTCGGAGCTCAGGAACGAACGGTACGTCATACCCGTCATACCCGGCAGTGCCGCGTCGAACGATACGTCATACGCGGAGCGCCGCGTCGAGCGGTACGTCATACCCGGCAGCGCCGCGTCGAGCGGTACGTCATACTCGGCAGCGCCGCGCCGAACGGTACGTCATACCCGGCAGCGCCGCGCCGAGCGGTACGTCATACCCGGCAGCGCCGCGCCGAGCGGTACGTCATACCCGGCAGCGCCGCGCCGAACGGTACGTCATACCCGGCAGCGCCACGTCGGAATGCTGTGGGGCGGGCGGCGACATGGCCGCAGGGCTGAGTATCGACCGGCGTGGCGGCGAAAATCACGCAACACCCGGCGCTCAACGCACCGCAAATCGACTATCGAGGACAGCACTGCTGTCCCGGGCGCGGCCGGATTGTGCTGAAGTCCGCCGGCAGGCACGCGCTGCGCTACGCACAGGTGGAACGTGGCGGCGGCTCTTGTGACCCGTCACGCGGGTGGAGCGAGCCACTGTTGAGAGAGCTCGTGACGCCAGTTCGTTAGGGACGGAGCAGGATACCCGCTACTGTCAGGGTGTTACCACGGGGCTCAAACAGATCAATGCAGATTAGGTCTTTGTCATAGTTGGAAGCGTGTCGTAGCGGAGGAAACAGTGTGAAGGGCCGTGCATGGATCAATGCGGTGCGCAAGGATATGTAAACGTGAGGTAACTGGGATTATGGCGTAATTGGGGGATATTTCAGTATACTTGCACACCAGTCATTATTGTTCGCACATCCACCAGTCTGCAGTCATGACACAGAAGCACAACCTGATCTCGGGCACGGGTGACTCGGCTCACCCTCGGGCCGCTAGATTGCCTACGCTGAGAGAGAGAAGATGAAATGACATTCCCGCAAGTTCCTGTCATGTCATGCTTTCCAGCTGATAACTCTCCTAATCAAGTATTTTGCCTATTGTGTGTGTGCGTGTGTGTGTGTGTGTGTGTGTGTGTGTGTGGTGTGTGTGTGTGTGTGTGTGTGTGTGTGTGTGTGTGTGTGTGTGTGTGTGTGTGTGTGTGTGTGTGTGTGTGCGTGTGTGCGTGCGTGCGTGCGTGCGTGCGTGCGTGCGTGCGTGCGTGTGGGTGTGTGGGTCTGCGTGTGGGTGTGTTCATGCCTGGATGCGATACCATTTAACCCCCTACATGTCCTACTGGCCGCAGCGTTGACGGTGAGGGATGCCATAACGCTGGCAACCTAGCTTTAAAAGCCTGTCTCACTCAACTTTGTTGCTTTGCAAACACTCGTTACACGCCATGACACTGTAGCACTTCCAACGGCAGATTCGTAATTTGACTACAACTAAAATAGTCAATGACGAGTGCTTGCGCGCTTGCGTTGCTAGGCAACGGAACGTCCATGGACGATTTGTGTTTGCTTGATTTCGGGATGCCTTCAGCACCATTCATGGGGCTTCCCGTCCGACCCGAACTCTGGTTGCAGGGACGCCTGACGGGAACCGGGTGTCATGCGCTGACTACCAGAGACGTCTAAGTCTTACTCTCCAAATTTCCACTGTGGTGGGAGCGTTGTTACACACTCCAAAATTTTAAGAAAACTGCACTCGCTACCACTGCAAATGTCAGTTACCTTGATTACGTCACCACCACTTGTGAATGCTGCTGCAATGTTTCTGTGTTGTCAGATTCTTTAGTGGCCCCAAAACAAACCCCGAGAAGCGACTGTGACAGCATGTTATTCCGTACCAGTGAGCTTCTCAGAAAAATTGCTGTATTTCTTCAGTTTTCATATCCTACCCGATGCAAATTGTTATCTCACTTGTGTGTGATTTCTTTGGCATTTCACGAAACAGGTGTTCGGGTAATGCATTTGATCTTGATTATGGTTCACCTTTCTAACCACAACGAATGAATGAATGAACGACGACTACCGGACGCCCGTAACCAAGACCCGCATTACTGCATTCTGGGTAGCGATGCTGTGTCGTCATCATGGGACTAAGTCATATGGCACCAATGCTACGGCCGCGTAAAAACGCTGTTTTTCGGGCTTGTTTAAGCATGAATATTTCCATAAAGCGAACTTTTTTAAGGCTTAGCACATTCAATGAAGCATTTTCAGCTGGGAAATGACATTGGTTTGCACCAGAGCTACAAAATAATTGCTGAAATGCGCTATCAGTCTGCCCCCGACAGAGAGATGGGGTAACCCGTCCACCCATTTACCAGTGATTTATCCTAGAGAACTCTAGCCGGAAGTGCTTAGAAAGTCTGTGTAAAAGAGTGCAACAAACAACAGCAGCAACATGGAGTGGAGATGAGAAACGGGGGCCCAGACGGGCTAGCAGTACTGTGGGACGCGCATTGAGAAGTTGGAATGCACATCCTGTAGCCTTAGTAGGGGCGTTGCCGGGGTGGATGCAGGGTTGGCTTGCCCTAGTGGAGGCAGTGCGAGGTGAACCCAGGAGGCGTTAATCCAGAGATCGCCGTTTCAGTTCATGATAGCAGATTTTCCTGTACAATGGGACGATTTCTGGCAAGTTTTGAAATTTCCGCCAGTCAAAGAGTGATGTCTCATATCTCACCTGGGAAATAATATTGGGGATATATAGGGATAGTCGGGGTATTATCCCCTCTGTACCGTTTTCACCTAACCTATCCGACATTATGGATCTGCAAGTTAGCCAACGACTAGCAGGATCATGGTAAAGAAACAACGAAATTTTTGGCACGTGCCATCTTAACATTACCTTATGTTTACACTTCGTTCCATTTAGGTACTGCAGTGCGACGATAAATGGACAATCATTTCCCATGTATGAATTTAATGTAAACATACACACCATATCCATTTATTTACCAATGCATATACATTTGACAAAGAGACGTTACATGTAAATGTTCAGGCACGTTGACTACGACGAATGTGGCGCGGGTACTGAACCTAGAAAAAGTGGTTAAGTAGGATCTATTTTTTGAAGCTGATCGTAATACTAATTTATCTTTAGAAGATTTTGAATGCAAAACGTACAATATCTATCCACATAACAATGAAAAAAGATGTAGAACAGGGTGACTATCCAGTTCATGGGCGAAATCACCGTCCGTAGCCATTCTACTAGTATCCACCAATTTTCACGCAGTATCAGCCAAAACCATACTACGGGTCAGGGGGGTGTCATCCGTATCGGTTAACACTATCAAAAATTGGCAACATCGAGCTAGCGTGAGAATACAGGTAGTTTGGCAGCAAAGCCTGCATGACGTCAAGTATACCATATTTGATGACGTCAGTGTCACGGAAGCCTCTCAGTTAGCCAGCTGACTGCTACACAACCCACTAGTTTGAATGGCGAGTATGTTTTGGGGGCGTGCGGCTGGCGCTTCCCGGTTGGACTCTGAATGAGTGGTCCACGGTTTTTTCATGCAAACACAGTTCTGGAAGGGAGATTGAATCTCGGAATAGTTTGGCATCATCAGAATTTTATATTCTTCCGTGGGGTGTACGTAACTAGGGGTTAAACGTCATGCGGCGTTTGTAGCGCATCGCGTGTCGCAGTTGCTTGGCGCTTTAGATCAGTGGGTTGTGGCCAGTTGCCATGACTACGCCTCGTACGAGAGATCTCCTGAGCAGTTTGTCTTGAACAATTGGTAGCATTTAAAATGCTCAGTCTGTGAACATTTTATTATGCCTATGTGTTCAAGCACTGATGTAAAGAAACACTTGACAGTAGCATCATAAAGCCAATATCATAGGGTTTTACTGTACTTACCTTACTGCACTCACATCACTGTGATAAGAAGAGCGACAGCTACTACAAATCAATATTGCAAATGTTCATATAATCATACCTATAAGCAAAGTAAATTATGCAAGCTGAGCTGTTCAACTCTGCCACCAGGCACAAACGGCACAGACAAGCGTAAGGCTATCTAACGACAAGCCTGCGCATGGAATGCAATACGCCACAAACGCCGCATGACATATAACCCCGTGTTATATCATCATACATGCAAAAATCGTACATTCTGATCAGGCTTAACTGTTCCAGGACTCACTGCTCATTCCAGAAATGTGTGCGAATAGCGAAATGACGGATAATTTCTTCTCAGTCCAACGGGGAACCGCCAGCCGCACGCCACCAAAACATGCCCACTATTCAAACTAATGGGTTGTGTAACAGTCAGCTGGCTAACTGAGAGGCCTCCGTGCCACTGCCGTCATCAAATATGGTATACCTAACGTCATGCAGGCTTTGCTTCCAAGCTACCTCTTTTCTCAAGCAAGCTCTATGTTGCCACTTTTTCGGACCGCACGGTTCTACCTCGTTAGATAGCCTTGCTACGGGTTACCAAATTTTAGTCTCATGGTGGCGTCACGTTTGCGTAGACATTCTCTAGTAGCATTGGCCCGTAATATACGGCACGTGCGAGTTTAGTCGTTTTTCTAAAACAAGAATGCTGGCCGCCGGCGACTAAACGATCAGCTGTTGACATTTTAGGGACGCTAAAATGTAAAGCTGCGACCGTTTAGGTAAAGTTAATGGATGAACGGACAGAGCACCGGTTTGTGTACTTCACGGGTAGCCCGACAATTATCGGCGCAACCGTGCAGAGCACAACTTCGTGCTGATCACATGAATTGCGCATGGTACGTTGGCCGACACTTTGAACATGGATTCGTGCCTCTTTCCGCGCTGGCTGACAAGCTATGCATGCGGTATCATGGAATTAAACGTGAAAACCTAAAAAAAACGGGCAAAATTACTTAGCAGCTGTTCTGCACGTGACATATGGCACACTGGACCTCGTGTTTAGCACCATGCGATTCCCGTTTAGTTATCTACCTAAACGTATCAGTTTCTTGTCACTCTAAGTTCTGATGTGGTCACAGGTCCAAACGGCTGCTCTTCGTCTTTGTCGTGGGTCACATTTTCGGACTTCCCGGACAAAAGCAAGAGGCCTAAAATGGCTCCTCTGCTACGTGCCTCGTCCGAACCTCGGACCGCGGCGGCTCGCGATGAACCCGTGGAAAGTCGTCTCGCGCGCCCGCGCGTCGTGTCCAAATTACACTGTTCAGCGACCAGCCGTTTGGTCAGTGGACGGTGTTTCGTAAAACGGGACGGACAGTCAGACAGGCAAGCCCTAAGCAAATAGTATACAGTTGACATCGTGTGTGCCATTACGGCTCGCGATCCCTCACCCTGAAACGTTTCCATTATATCATTACGATGCGGAAGGAATTCCCATCGAGTACGGGGGACTGCATTGCATAAGGATACCGCAATGCCACGTACAGTAGCCGCAGCTCGTCCACGCATCGATCGCTGACCAAGTTGCATGTGTGTTGATCCGTCTCGATGACCCTGTTTTGGCCGGTGTGCCCGCGACAAAGGCAGTCGTGCGGTGCTCGACGAGCGCGTTCTGCGTCACTTCCGGCGCCATCGCGCCAGATTGTGTGTTTTTCCGCTCGGAGCCGACGCCGCCGGTGACGGGGCGTCAGCGCGTCAGCGGCGCTGATCCTATTACTCTCCCGGTACCGGACACAAAAAGGCGCGCTGATCAGGGGCGACGCGCGCGACGGCGGGCGGTCGAAGCGGGCTGGGACGCCGCCGCCGCCGCCGCCGTCCGCTCGGCGTTGCCAGCGCGCCGCGACCGAGCCCGTACTGGCCTTGGACACAGCGTGTGTCCGGCACTCACGTAGCGGGCTCCATCCGTAGAAACAATGCACGGCGCTGGGCCGCCTCCAAGCACAACACGGCCGTCGGAGGCCGACGGCCGGGGCGCCGCGGCACGGCCGCCGGCCCGTGCGCTCCTGTCGGCTGTGACCCATGAATGCTGCCGACGGGCTCTGACCCATGAATAAATGCTGCCGACGGGCTCCGACCCGTGAATACTGCCGACGGGCTCCGACCCGTGAATACTGATGACCGGCTCCGACCCGTAAATACTGCCGACCGGCTCAGACCCGTGAATACTGCCGACGGGGTCCAACCTGCGAAAAAATACTGCCGACGGGCTCCGACCCGAGAATACTGCCGACGGGCTTCGACCCGTGAATACTGCCGACCGGCTCAGACCCGTGAATACTGCCGACGGGGTCCAACCTGTGAATAAATGCTGCCGACGGGCTCCGACCCGTGAGTACTGCCGACGGGCTCCAACCCGTTGATACTGCCGACGGGCTCCGACCCGTGAATACTGCCGACGGGCTCCGACCCGTGAATACTGCCGACGGGCTCCGGCCCGTGAATATTGCCGACGGGCTCCGACACGTGAGTAATGCCGACGGGCTCCGACCCGTGAGTACTGCCGACGAGCTCCAACCCGAGAATACTGATGACGGGCTACGACACGTGAATACTGCCGACGGGCTCCGACACGTGAATATTGCCGACAGGCTCTGACCCATAAATACTGCCGAAAGGCTCTGACCCATAAATACTGCCGACAGGCTCTGACCCATAAATACTGCCGAAAGGCTCTCACCCTTGAATACTGCGGAAAGGCTCTCACCCATGAATACTGCCGGGGGGCTCCGAACCTTGAATACTGCCGACAGGCTCTGACCCATGAATACTGCCGGGGGGCTCCGACCCGTGAATACTGCCGACGGGCTCCGACCCTTGAATACTGCCGACAGGCTCTGAACCATAAACTACTGCCGGGGGGCTCCGACCCGTGAATATTGCCGACGGGCTCCGACCCTTGAATACTGCCGACAGGCTCTGACCCATGAATACTGCCGGGGGGCTCCGACCCGTGAATATTGCCGACGGGGTCCGGCCCGTGAATACTGCCGACAGGCTCTGACCCATGAATACTGCCGGGGGGCTCCGACCCGTGAATATTGCCGACGGGGTCCGGCCCGTGAATATCGCCGACAGGCTCTGACCCATGAATGCGGCCGGGGTACTCCGACCCTTGAATACTGCCGACGGGCTCCGACCCCGTGAATACTGCCGACGGTCTCCGACCCGTGAATACTGCGGCCCGAGGCTCATCCAGGCACGCCAAAGCCTGAGGGTGAGCATGGTTGAACCGATGTAAATTGGAGTGTCAGCGTGATTCCTCTCGTGACCAATACTTTGTTACCAGCTAGGTCGACCCGTCAAGACGCTGCTCAGTTGGGGGCGATTCTCTGAGCAGCTCCCTCTGCCGAGGTTGGCTCTATCTCGTCTGTGTACGCGCAATGCCTTCGTTTCTTCCCATGCGATGATGCAGAGCGTCAGGATAGCGGCGTTTACAGCAGCAGCTACCCTACACTGACCACAGCACTGGAGTAACCTTGACTCGGCAGTGTAGAGATCCAAACCACTTTGTGGCCCTGGCCTGGCTGTGATTGTGACCGTGCGGCGCCTCTGATCTGTGGTGGCTATGACCCCGTGGTGACGTCAGGACCTGCGGGCCGCTCCCGGCAGGCCGCCCTGTTCCAGCTCGCTCTTCCAGACCTGGGAGTCGCTGCTTCAGGAGGTGGAGGCTGACAGCCAGGCGCACGCCGACGTCGCCACCGTCTACGGTACGGGGACGGGAGAGGGGGGGGGGGGGGGGCAAAGACGATTTGAGCCGTCTCTTGGCATGTTACATTGAAGCGTTGATCTAAAACTTTTCCAAAATAGGTGGGTGGCTGCCTTCCCTGCTCTCCCCCACCCCCAACCCGCTGCCCCGGTAGGGTGTGTCCTCGGTTGGGGCTCGTCATAGGCATTGTACTAGTATGGTGGGCACCCAGGTGTGCGCTATGGCTATCGTACCGGTACTGTGGGTGTCGGGATTCTGTACCGTCCAAATCAACCGGCGCAGTGGGTACAGGGCGGCCATGAATATATAATGGCCATACAAAATAAGTCATGAATACAGCGACCCTTCGAAGCATTCAATCCTGTTGACATTCTGACCACTTCACGAATTGATGCAGTTGGTGTTCAGACCTCTTGACCCTAAGCGAATCTGGCAGATCCCATCGCTGTGAAAAGTAAGGTGAGCTGGCGACCTCGTCCGGAGGACATATGGCTGTCTATCTTGGCAAAATTCTAGCATCTTAATTGCTTGCCTGCGCTTCTGTACGCCTGTGTGACTTTGCCTGCTATTCAGACAGCCAAGCCACGGATCTGAGTAAGTCATAACATATAGTTATTGCACTTTACGCGGACTCCTAATTTCCCAGGTCGTCAAGTCGCGCGTGCCATTGTTGAGAAGACGTTTCATAGAAAAATACAGAGTAAGAAGATATTCATGCACCGAGAAAGCTACGAGGCTGTCTTGGCGAAGACGGACGAAATGCTCCAGAAGGTAAGAGCCTGCCTTAGCGGCACAAGCCTTAGCTGCAGTAATGGGGGCGTATTGTTGCACTTTCATTATACAACACTCAAAGACGGTGCGTTAGTTTCAGGAGTGCGGTTGGGTACTCTATTTTTTCAGGTAGAGACGCTACCCTCAATCATTAAAGCCCTTATGCCTGTGAAGCTATTGCATGGGTAGTTGTACGATTGTAAGAAATCATTTAGTTCAACACACCAATGAAATACCTTCCAGGTTATGAACTCCTTGCCTCTTTTTTAGAGCAGACCGTCTTTTGCTGGCCTCTCTCCGTAGTCTGTTATGCATGATTATAAGCGTGCCGACATAAAATGTGTACTCCAGCTGTCATGATTAGTTATGTAAGCGTGTACTTAACGCTGTTTCGCACGCCCACACCCACATTATATATACGTATATGGCGTAGGAATATATATATATATATATATATATTTATAATGTGGATATATATATATATACATATTTGTATATAATGTATATATATATATATATAAATTGATACGACAACTCAGAATACGATATTTTTAGTTTTGGACACCATTCGGCCAAGTTTTTCGATCTTTTGCACGTCACGATCGACATCGTCTTCTAGTTTATAAAGTACGGATGTCTCGAAATTGATGCGCGGTTGTGTCGTGCTCACTAACAGAGAATATCATTAAGACCGGTTCATTATTTACCTGCCAATGTAATCCCCACGCAGCCGCATGCACTGGCGCATACGCTCCAGCCTGCCTCACATCAGATTGTCGAGAGTCTCTGCCTTGGCCTCCGCCACGCCGCTTGCACGCTTGGGAACAGGGTGTTCTCTGAAGTGGCCGGCGACATCTTGCTGAGCTCCTCCTTGGCGATCGCCCAGAGATTCTCGATCGGCGACATGTCGGGGCTGCTGCCTAGCCACGTACCCTTCTCCCAGAAGTCCGGGAAGTTGGCGCGGCACCAGTCCTGAACCTTCATGCCATGATCAGCTGGAGCGCCGTCCTGCTGGGAAATCACCCTCAACATGTCTGGCAGGAGTATGACCTTGGTTGGCGGGCCATCCGTCTTCCTCCGCTGCATCACCGAGGCTGTAGGCTTCTCCAGCACCTCTCTAACATAGCAGTTGACGGTGACAGCCTGCCCGCGCGGGACTTGTCGTAGCTAAGGGAGGCCTCTGTATCTCATTATGCCCCGGACAAGAATATCTAGTTTTTTAATTTTTTTTGTTTTAGCTGTTTCACTGTCTCGGCTATTGCCACCTCCCAGCTGTTGTTGGCTCAGGCCCTGTCGCTCTGGCGGTTAGGGGCTGTGAAGAGCTCGAAGGGGAACTTGTCCCTGAAGCGGATGCGTCTCCAGTCCTGAACGGACCCATTCTTGCAGGCTTTGGCAAATCCCAACCACATGCGCTTCTGATCCACGGTAAGCCTTGGCTGCAACCTGAGCTTGAGCGGCTTCAGTCGCAGGCTGGTCTTCAGATACCGGTGGACGGCTGCCTTGGAGGCTTGGTGTTTCTTCGCCCTCAATTTTCTCGCTAGGGTTCTCGTCGAGTGGCGCCTTTTGAAAGCCGACTTTACAATGACGATCTTCACCACTCGGATCAAGGCCACCTTTCTTCCACGACCTGTGCAGTTTTCAAGTGTCTCTCCTGAGAGGTCTCGGGCTATCCAGCGCCTAATCGTCGCTGCGATGACGCCCAAGTCCCTGTCGACCTGGACCTGGGTCATGCTGCTGTTGACCATCCCAACCGCGCAATAACGGATCGATGGCGTGTGCTCTTTCATCACTGGCGATATGCGGGCTTGATGCGCTGGCATCTTGAAAGGAATGGCCTCTCCCGCCTGCTACCGGCCGAAGTCAGGCCGGCCGCTAGGGTCACGTCATCGCCTGAAGCGGTGGGATGCCCTGGGGCAGAGCGCGGTATAATTTCACTCGCTCAGCGTTCGGGAGCGGGGAATGATAGGCAGCACCAACCGCGCATCAATTTCAGGACACCCCGTAGGCTCACCAAGAGACGTGTGTCGTCTTCATGCATATATGCTTTGTTATAAAATATTTGGGCTACATCGCATATTCATTCTAAAAAGCTGCACCTAGCTCTTCAGTTCTTAACGGCAGTTGACACGAAGTCAGAACGCAAACACTAGCATGCGTATAACGTTATATTCCCCGTTGAATATCCCTTCCTGCCATTATAGCTTGGTACACTTTCACACAAGTATATACTGAATTTACTCACAAGTATATACTGAACGCTATAACCAGGAGAAAGATTGTTTTAACGCGCTTCCTTTAACATGCAATAATCACACCACGTGTATGTAACTAGGATAAAGTTGGCTTATTAGGTGCGCCCGTTTATAGACATTTCTTCAGCCCATGCCTTTAGCTCATCTAAATTCATGGAGCATACTAGACCCAGCAATCAACAAGATGAATCGGTCTAAGGCGTCGGATGCTGGCCACGCCATTATTGCTTACATCAGGGTGCTGTGTGGGGCAAGGCGGGCTTCAAGGACCATTTCATTGAAGGAGCACTCATCTTGGATCATGTCAAGGTATGTAAGCTTTGTAAGCTGTGTGAGTACCGTAAACAAGCTCTATAAGTACTGTGCGTAAGCTCTGTAAGGAGTGCGTAGTCATGAACAGGGACCCTGCAGGATATCGGAATTTGTTTGGTCGTGTTTGCGTCGGAGATGTCACCAAATGTTTTGAGAAAGCTTTGAGAAGTTTCGGTACGAAGAGACCTGGCACGACACCGGTCCATAAAAGCCTGATCTTGCTTATAGCTAGCCAACCGCAATGTTTCCAAATTATACGCATCCACAAACAGGTTTTTAGATCTCTACGAATCACTTCGAGCCAAAAAATGCCGATAAAAAAGGTGTGATTAGAAAATAAAAGCCGAATATTTCCGAAAAAAAGTTTTGAAAATTTTGCATCGTGATCCTTCGTTGAAACGGTTGTTTTGTATTTTGAATTGCATTTTTATTTTTTGCAGTATACGTACAATCTGAGCACACTGTCGTCGGCTCCTTTTACGTTTTTTTTTTATACAATCCAACATTAACCAGTCGGAACTTGGGATTCGGTATCAAATTTGGCGGCTATGCTAGCTTAATCACCAGTAGGCTCGGATTCTACCCGGTGCATGCTGTTACACCACCCTTCAGAACGATTCTCTATCCCGTGGGTGGTTATACCGCGGGGTTGGGCTGTTGAGGCAAACACTGATTGCACAATTAGGCTGCCATGTCACTCTGCCACGCAGGTGGGCAATTCTGATATCGTCGGGAACGATCACCATTGGGCTGAGACTGTAATCATTCCCTCGCGACTTCAAATCATACCTGATTGCAGGTCTATAAAGAACGTTGACTGTTTGTACTGTTTGTAGAACAAGGACAAACTGGAGTGGCAAATAGTGAACTGTCAGCTCCAGAAACCTAGAACGGCATGCATGTTGGTTTTTGGCGCCTTTTGCTTTATCTTTCGGCACCTCAACACTAATAAGCACTAAAGAAGGCTATTAAAGTAATGTCTCGTCTCAGCTTTGTCACTATCCATGCTTTCTTGAATCATGAGATGCTGAAAAAATGCAAATGACCTGTGTAGTGTCAGGGAAAGAGCCTTTCATCCACGCTGGTGTTGTTAACTGGTACGATTTAAATGGTTACAGAGCCTGCCTTCCGATTCACCCAATCATGGCGGGTGAGTTTGGACGTTATTTGCTCGCTATTTGCCCTTGACAGATGTGGCATGCGGTCGATGGCAGCGGCCGTGGTATAGGGCAGATGACATCAAAGGGCAGGACGGACCGTGCCGAGCATTGCGGCACATGAAGTTTTCGCCGCCAAATTCAGCCGCTGACGTGAAAGTGCCCGATCGGGTGGTAGAGGTCAGGGCTCACACAACGAGCGGTGCCTAGCGTAAGCTCTGATCCCAGAAATCCATCCATTCAAATGGTTCGGGTAAAATCTTCACACAAAATTAAAGAAATGACCATCCAGACTGTCTCAGCTTCCAGTCGCATGGGTTACGAACGTCCGTGTTTTGAAGTTGCTCTGATATGTCGCTAATGCTCTATGCACCGCACACGCGAAAACTGCTGTGATTTAGTCCACCATTTGACAAAAGTATGGAGTGTGTCAAAGCCGGTCAAGCTGTTTAAGGAAGCGGTTCTCGGTGGCTGTTTACGTGTGCAAAAAGAGAATTCAAAAATAACTGTGAGCGAAGTTATAACAACGCAAACCGCCCAGGCTAAGGCATAATACGTTCGGGCGAGCGTTGTGCCGCTGCGAATAATTCGCTCTGAAACTTTCGATGGCGAATGGTTTCCAAAGGCCCTTAGCTTCGTCCTGCAACTTTTGTTCGCGATAACCCACTTCGACGTTGTTTGGCGTTTTTGCACTCGGAGCCAAGTTGGCTGCAGGTGGCCGACCGGTGTCTTTGATTTTGGGAAGACATTGTGGGACTGCAGTCCAGAGGCAGGTGCTGCGATATAGTTATGGCCGGGCTGGTGGCCGCCGCTGCGATGAGCGGCGTTCGTCTCTGACCGCCCCGTGGCACGAGCCGGCGAGTCCCGGAGCAGGGGGCCTGCCCCAGAGGCCCGCGTCCCGCCACGGACCCCTGAGGCAGGTGATGGGGCCTCACGGGGGCTGAGACTCGGGAGCTTAGTGCCGGGCGGGACGGCAGCCTACACGTGATGAGATCGCCGACCGAGATGGGGAAGGATGACTTCCATTGCCGAACAGCCACCCTCTACACTACGCTGCCTCTGGAGCTCCCAGTCCCTGACTTCGGACGGACTTTTGGCCTTATGCGCTATCTTAGGTCGTGATTATGGTTTTCTGCATGCATGCGTGTATGCTGGATGTCACTGCATGTACGTATGTGCGGCATTGATAGGCATATGCATGGACGTAACTGCTGGGAAACGGGGACATTTGGCTCTCGGCTTCCCCAAAATGTGATGCAGTCCTCTCCAATTGTGTCCT